TATGTACTTATTGACTGAGTGGGAGGGCCGTACGGGAAAATATTTGGCTCGAGGTTATGCCGTACGGACCGAGCGCAGCGAGGTCCGTACAAATGACCGAGAGCCAAATATTTTCCCGTACGGCCCGACCTAACTCAGTCAATAAGCATTTTATCATATGACAGCGTTTTTTAATGTAAAAAAATAAATAAAAGCGCGCGGAACTTCAAGCCGGGAAAATACGGGTTTGTACGGACATGTACGGACCTGTCGCGAAAAGGCGTACGGACCACATCACGTGACCATTTTCCAAAGGTTTCAGTGAGAGCGCGCGTAGGGCCGAAATACGGGTCATATGATAATGTATTATCTTATCTTTTTTTACATGATCAGTTTCAGGATGGAAGTTCTGGTGTGGTGGTGCGTTGGTATCTCCACAATGGGTTCTTACCGCTGCACATTGTTTTTACGTTGAGAAAAATACTACAAATAGGGTTTGGTTTGAACAAGACATAAAGACACTCGCAAAGTAAGTTAACCTGCTGTTTTACAATCGAGTCAATTGTTGAGTGAGTATCAAGATGTTTTTTTTGCTCCAGGTTTAAAATCAAAGTTGGTGATCATGATTTAAGAAGCTATGAATCATCAGAACAAGAACATCAATTCCAAGAAATATTTGTACATCCCGACTACAGGCATGATCCCATCTTTGAGAACGATATCGCTTTAGTTAAACTAAACCGTGAAGTCATTCTCGGCCCGTATGTGCGCACTGTTTGTCTTCCTGGACCTGACCTGKACCTTGCTAAACCAGGTACAGCAGGAATGGTTGCTGGATGGGGAATTACTGAATCAAGTTATGGTTCTTCGTTTCTTCGCTACTCCTCRTTTACCATCRAGACARACAATGTTTGTGGGAGAGYAATAAACGTATACTACAACAAGACAGTAGCATTTTGTGCAAGTGATGTTAAAGGACACAGCGCGCCATGTTACGGTGACAGTGGAGGKAGTATGGTAMGAAAGTTGTTTCTAAATGGAAAATACCGATTTGTAACAATTGGTTTAGTCAGTTGGGGTGGATGTACTCTAGGAAGTCATTATGGGTTCTACACAAGACTGCAGCCATTCTTACCGTGGATTTATCATAAAGTCAGTAAGTACTACAACATGTCTAGCGAACACTGATGGTCTTGCATTGAATGATTTTCAAGGTAAATAACATACTTGCTCTCATGGCTCGGAAACTATTCAAAATTAGCTCCCAGCAGTGCAGTCTAAAATCTCCACATGAAAATTCAATTTGCCATCAAGTCAAGGATGCGGAGCGTTTATTTTGTGGAGCGGTGTCATTGGGTACTCTTGACTATTTTTGGTCACCATATTCTTAAATGCCAATGGTTGGCATTTTGCATAATAATAATGCATAATGAGTTCATCAAAAGCCCTTAAAACAAAAATCCAAATATAGCGGACTTGGTGTGCAATTTTTTTGCAATGTGAAATTTTTTCAATAAAATGTCTCATCCAATATGGACTTTAAGTTATCTCTGTAAAGGGCAGCTGTTCACATTATTTCCACAGTTAGATAGACTGATGGGCGATTTTTATGTCAAGAATTGATATCCCACGCCATCAGTTTTAAAATAAAATTTAGTCACATGTTCACTGGAATTGCGCGAGGAATACCAAACTTACTATTCATGATTGATCTCATTTTTAGATTCTACCTGCATTGGTCCTGRTCAGCTAACAAATGGTGTAGTCAATTCAACCAGGAGCATATATCAGCCAAATGAAGCCATAAGGTTTACATGCAACATAAACTACACGAGAATTGGAAAATCAGAACTGATCTGTCAACGAGATGGAACTTGGAATGGATATAAGCCAATATGCTTAGGTAGCTAGGACCAAACCTTTTCCAAACTTTCATCTTAGTTTATAATATAAATAAGATGTTAATATACAACGTACTGAATACTTTATTGCAGAGGTAAGTTGTACCAACTTCTATCACCCTGGAGACGGCAGGAAAAAACCTAAACAAAGCAAGTTCTTACCCGGAATGAAAATCATTATTGAATGTAAAAAAGGTTACACACTACTTGGAAAGTCATCTCTCATTTGCCAAAGCGATGGTTCTTGGGATGTACATTGGCCATATTGCTTAGGTAAAGCTCAAGGATCGATGCAATACCTCATTTCTTACTTTTGCGTTACTAAGAGCATACATACACATTGACTCTGGCTCATGACTGGCAACTGAAAACAGCTCGAGGAATTAGCTGCTTATAGTTCTTGAATTTAAGCGTACGTGTAAAAGATGAGATCAAATAAATCTCAAAATTAGATAGATTTTAATTTTATATTAATTTCAATTTAAATAGTCGATTTCCTATTGATTTGTATCACAGCGCCATGTCCGAGACCCACACAACCAAAAAATGGCATGCAGGTTCAAATTGGTGACAGTTTTATGCATGGTCAAAGAGTTAGGTTTCGGTGTAACACCGGTCTTAAACGTATTGGTTTATCTATTACTACGTGCATTAACGGGAAATGGACCAATAAAACTCCAAAATGTGTTGGTATGTCTACAGTAATGTTGAATCTGATCTTAAAATTTAATTTGATGTGCAAGTCTCTACAACAGAATGTTTATATATTTTTAATATATATCCTTTATATATTTCTCTATAATTTTTTTTTCCGTTTCGGAGCTCCATGTCCCGATCCTGGTACACCAATTAATGGTCATCGATACAACCATTCTTTCCAACATGGTGACCAAGTCATGTTTTCTTGCGAAAAGGGAAAGTATTTGATTGGAAGAAAGATTATTACATGCAGTGATGGACGATGGGATCAGATGACACCAAAATGCTCAGGTAAATTAAGCGTTACCCGTGGAGATGTTATGGGTGGACTTTTGGGCCCTTGTTAGTTTAATAAAATGTTGAATATGTTGTGATGTTTATAGATAACAGGAACTGTCAACTGGGAAACATACCAAATGGGATTATTACCAATAAGGTCTTTAAACACAGAGACAAAATATCTATTCGCTGTCGTGATGGTTTTAGAATCAAGGGTAGTCCAGAATTGATATGCTACAATGGACAATGGACCAATCGAAAACCGATATGTGTTGGTAAGTGTTTGCATACATTTATACCCGAATTATTGCTCACAGGGCAGTAATCACTTCATTATATTTGAAACTATAGTGTTAATAAATGGGCAATACTGTTTTGGTGTATTTTCTTTACGAAAATGTTTTACAAAAACATCAAATGTCATCCAACGAAAGTAACTCACTGGCAAAAAAAGGTTTTTTGGACATGATTGATCCTACATGGTATAGTGTAATCGCACGTTACAATGTTGCCGATGGTGTTTGGTAATCCAATATTTCTTGGCTTGACCAGGTCTGTTTGATAAGCTTAACAATATTTCCTTTTTCACAGGTGTTTGTGCTCCTCTTAGTCATCCAAAGAACGGTCAAATGTTGGATTTTAATTTCGACTATGGTTCCACGGTACGATTTCGCTGTAACTATGGATTTTCTCTGCGAGGTCCAGAAAATGTGACTTGTTACAATGGGAAATGGAATAGCAAAGCGCCATCATGCAGAGGTAATTATATGATAAACATTACTGTATTCTTCCATGTAGATAAAAGGTATATAGTTGCCATATATTCCTTTTTTCACTGTTATTGCAACGGTTTCGGCAAAGGGTTGTTATGCCGAAGGGTGGGAATGGGGTTGAGTTCCCATTACCTACAAAGTGCCCTTCATGGCATGCGTATCAATGTAGCCTTTAACAACCAAGCCCAGCTCCTAGCCTTCTCGTGTGGTTTAGCCTTTAAACCCGGCAGAACTGTTTGTACTGATAGGAGAAGGGGCGACAGGTGGGGTTTGATAACCTTGGAAGGTAACCCGTCTAGGAGAAGGAAAACTCTGAACCAAAACCTCCGCTGCCTTGGGGCCATACCCTTTTATGGGAAAGGCTTCGGGAGATCACCCTGAGAAAAAATCAGGAGTTGGAGTCCCTAAAGGCAATTGATGGCTATACTGTGCATCACTTTGGCAACTTCTGCGACGACGTTCAACCCCAAATGTATTGGCTTTTGACTCTCATTGGTTCCACCCAGCGTCGTGGAGAGAGGGAGCTAGCTGCATGGGTAACAGCCAGTTTTCCTATTACCCCTAACCCAGGCTCTGTACACTGGAGAGGTCACTTCAGTACGCTATGCTTAAAACACTGTTTCTAGTGTACAGCCAATGAGTCATTCGTGATTGACAGATGCCTACTACTACTACTTACATTCTCGTCACTGAATTACTTCGTAGCAACGGTAAATTGAGCAACGATGTCCCATCCTGCAAAGGTATAATAGATAGAAATAGTGCATGCAGGTAACATGGGATATGTTTTTCACTACATGCTTATAAATCAAGGTTTCTCATTTTCTTAGTAGTCTTCACATTTCTATTTCTATACCCTGTTTGAATAAAAAGATGAAGTTCTTGTTTTGCAGCTGACTGTTTAGATCCAGGACGTCCTACTAACGGAGAAAGACAAGGAGATCTTTTCACTGATCTACAGACAGTGAGCTTTTCTTGCAAAAGTAATTTCACGATGATTGGTTCCTCCAAAATACAATGTAATGATGGAAAGTGGACTGATAGAATACCGGATTGTACAGGTATATTGGTGGTTAGTAAGGGAATGCTCACCTTACAATTAATTCTCTGTTAGTCGACTCATTAGCAATGAAGAAGCTAAAACACAAAATTTTCTATTGACGAATGTTTGATCGTTTTTTCTTTAGAGTGCGGCTCTCCACTTGGAATGGAGAACGGAAAGATTCCAGTTAAAAACATTCGAGCTTCTTCAACGTGGAGCAATCGTTATGATGTAAGATACGCTCGTTTGAACAGCTACAGTGCCTGGTGTTTAGGAGCTTTAAACAAATCACCTTATCTGGAAATAGACCTTACGAAACCTTACAGGATAACGTACATAGCTACGCAGGGGAACGCCCTTGATAATCAATGGGAGACGAAGTACACTTTAAGCCATACTTTGCGGGCAAAGTCATCATTTATAGAATACAGGGAAAATAACAGAGTAAAGGTATCATTAAGTGCAATTGATTTTCTGGTTGAATCAAGACAAAGTTAAGCTCAAAGAAAATAAAATATCTTTATGATAAGGTCTCTGCGATTTCGTTTTTGGTAGTCGTACTTATCATGTATGTTTGACATTGTGGTATGAAGAAAAGGGAATCCTTGATCAGAAACTAGATATACCCCTCTTACTAACCACTTCTTGAAACCACTGTGTATTCTACTCAGATATTCAACGGCAATAGCGATGCAACAGCTGTAGTCTGGCACAAATTGAAGAATTTGCTCATAGCGAGGAAGGTGCGTTTTCACCCAATTGGGTATAGATTTTCTGGATATCTGTTCAAAAGGTCGTGCATGCGAGTGGAGATATACGGATGTAGCCTTCCTACTGGTAAGTATATTAAACATTGTCTTTCTGGCAAATACCTCATGTCATACATATAACAACATCCACAAAAACAGCAACAGCAGCAACAAAAACATGAACAACAACAACTTTATTTGAATACTGACACCATGACATCATTGCATTATCATATTCGATGATTTGAAAACTATTCCTAAATACTGACTAAGCTACGACTTTTAAAAAATTAAAATGGTCATTAACATCAATTCCATCGTTTCCAATATACAAACCAAAATAGTTTTTACGTGATGGCATAAAAAAATGAAGGCAGGTCGAAAATCAAATGATAAAACCTTAATAGTCATTGCAATCTGCTAAAACGAAAATGAAAGTTGACCTGTACATCGTAACTGTTCAATTATTTATATTACAGATTGTGTGATGGTTGGGTCACGTGTGCTGGGAAGGTGGGCCAGTCTCTACCATGGTGGTGATGTGTACTACAAATCATACGTAAAAACCATCGATGACACATACGATGAGGTTGACTTAGAAATAGAAGATGACGACCATCACGACGATAGATTTAAAGCATTGTCAAAGACGCTCGTTGTACTGGACGTCCCCAATAATCAATTGAACTTACCACGTGGCACAAAAGTATTGGCACCGTGGAGAAAGAAGTACTACACTGGAACCATTGAAAGAAAAGTGAGAAATTATTATCAAGTACGCTTCGATTTTAACACACGTGCTTGGATTCTTAAGAGAGAAATAAGGTTACTTAAGCCTACACAGTTTTGTGAGAGATAATTTCGATACTTTATTCAAACAAAACACTAGTGAAATGTTCAAATCATCAAGGTTTATAGACAAATAAAAAAGTAAATACACCGGGTTATTGTTTCTTGTAAGCCATGTTTTTTGGATAAGGGATGCTGGCTCGTTTCTTTTTTTTGCAAAATATTGTTAAGGCCGATTTACACGGCACAATTATCGCGCGCGACTTGTCTTATACAACATGACTTGGCACCATTTACACGCGCACGACTTGTCGCACGCGTCATTGTAATGTCGTGAGCAATGTTCTCGGCGAGGACTGGGGCGATCAACAAACAAAATGGCGGATCGTAGGCGGACTGCTACTTTGCTTATTGTTTCAATTATTTTGAAACGAAAAAAATGCAAGAGACGACAGAGAAGCATACGCGAAAAAGACTGGCTTAATCGGCGATCCTCTAGAAGTGTTTACAATGAGCTATTGCAAGAGTTAAGGCTGGAAGATCCGCAGCACTATCGGAGATACCTTCGTATGGACACGGCGACATTTGAGGTATGTTTTCCTTTATTTAGGTGAAATTTTAAGGCTAAATCTACACGACATAATTGTTGTGTGACGTTTTTCAAGACATACATCTGAAAAATATACGTTATTATTTAGAATCTTTTGGAGAAAGTCACTCSATATATCAAGAAAAAGACGACAAATATGAGAGAGCCGATTCCACCAGAAGAGCGGTTGGCTGTTACTTTGCGGTATTTGGCTACTGGAGAATCATTTTGCAGCTTACAGTACCAATACAGGATAAGTGCCTGTACTCTTACCCAGATCATACCAGAAGTATGTGCTGTTATTTTTCAAGTTTTGAAAGATGACTTCCTGAAATGCCCAACTTCACCTGAACAGTGGCTACAAGTTGCCCAAAGCTTCAAAGACCGCTGGCAGCTACCACACTGTTTGGGTGCGATAGACGGGAAACACGTGAAAATACTCCATCCAGCACACAGTGGGTCMTCATTCTTTAACTATAAAGGCTTTTATAGTGTTGTCCTGATGGCTGTCATAGACGCCGACTATAAGTTTTTATTTGCTGACGTGGGGTGCCAAGGTCGAATAAGTGATGGTGGTGTTATTAAAAACACTRATTTTTRGACTGCACTTGTTGAAGGTAYRATAACTCAAAATATCACTGAAAACATTTACAGACAAATTTTTTTTAATAATATGTAAGAGATAAATACCGAGAACGGAGGCAATAAGCCATATAAAGCACGAGGGGCCKTTCGAGGTATTTATCTGGCTTATAAAGCAAACTCTTAAAAATCATATTATTTCASAAGCACTGTTATATCATATTATAACTTATAATAACCACAGTGTATTACACTGTTAATTTTTCCATCTAGTACTTCATGTGTGCACACTTGATAAGCGTWTGCTATTCAAATAAGGTTTCATTAAGCATTTCATATGTTGGACTTTCATATTTGATTTTTTATGGTGGTCTTAAAATATCTCTATTTTTTTAAATACAGACACACTAGGTTTACCTGACCCTCAAGAGTTGCCAATGTCCTCTGACAGATCATTCCACGACTGCTATTCTGAGCAGCCTATGCCATATTTCTTTGCGGGAGATGATGCGTTTTCGTTGGAGACCCACCTGATGAAACCTTATGGTCAAAAACATCTGACTGAGGAAAAAAGAGTTTTCAATTATAGGTTGTCTCGTGCCAGGAGACTTAGTGAAAATGCATTTGGTATTCTCTCGAGTAGATTCAGGGTTTTTTTTAACAACCTTGTGTGTCAAACCAGACAACGCTGTGAAGATTATACTGGCAGCCATCTCATTGCACAACTTCCTTCGGTCTAAGGTACCAGGGCGCTACACACCATCAGATAGCATCGACATAGAGAAGAATAATGGTGAGGTGGAGAAAGGGTCATGGCGTCATGAATGTGAGAGTAACCTGTTTGAAGATCTGCCAAACTACAAAAAGGGAAGRCAAACCCTCAGAGCTGWAGCAGCCAGAGACATGTTATGCCAATATGTCAATGGACCAGGCCAGATACCATGGCAGTGGAATGTTCTTGTGTAATGTGTATTTTAATTTAGTAGCAATTATGATTTTATTTTGCAGATTTAGTATCTACTCTACTACAGAACTGATTGATTTATAAACTTTAATAATTTGCAATGTACAACTTAAAATTGCAGTGTACTTTCAAACTATTGTGTGGGCTGCTAGAGACTTGAGAGTAATTTAATAGAGTAGACATAAATCTGTGAAAATAAAAAATATGTCGTATCAAATTTATCATGTCGCAGTAGGCATGAGGAGGACAGGTGACAATACTCTTGATTAACATTCTTGAAAATTATRTTTCATTTTCTTTGATCTGAAAATGCAACCTGTGACGAATTTGAAATTACTCAGAAAAAAAAAACAGTTATCAAACAATAATATTAGTTCAAAAAGCATCTTGTGCATCTCATCAAGTGACTCTCTATTTAAGAATTGTCATAAACCTTACTGTGAGTTGAAATGTGTAACAGTTGCCGGTTAACAAGCTTGTGGTTATAAATTCAAATTGAATAATAHCATATTTTGAACAAAAATAAAACACCAATTAGCAAGGAGCATAAAAATCTTCCAAAAAGTGTTACAAACTAGTTTCAAACATTCTGCAGCTTGCACTAAGAAAATGTATGGTAATTTACAATTTACTCACATGTTTCTTGAACTATTATGCCATGCATGTACATGCGCTGTGAACCAATGGACAGCACTGAAAGAGAAGCCAGTTAAGAATACAAAATACATGTAGTTATGGCTAGTTGGATAACAGCAAATGAAAAAATGTAAAATAGTACAAAATAGTTAATAGATAACTTAAGTTTCATACTCTTATACTTATAAAACAGCACTGATAAATAAAGGCTTGAAAAATGTTGACATTGCATGCAATATTGGTACATGTAAAAAGCTAAAAGCTAAATCAAAAGCACAAAATGTTTTTTTCGCTAGAAAGTAATATCAAATTCTGTGTTTCTATTCCAAGTCAGCAAATGCAATTGTAGAGAATGGTTGCCTGGCTGGTGGTTGGGGAAGCATTGCCTTCAAAATAAGCTGCTGAATGTCAATTCBAAGCATTTCCTTGGCATAGCCATCTGGTATTCTTTGCATCTGTTTTGCAATAAACTGACCAAMGGTAGCATCTGCATCAACTGGTGTGTCTGTTTTCGGTTTTTTCAACTCTTGCAGACATGTTTCCAGGAGGTCATCCTCGAGATTCGTCTTCATTTTTTTTTTGTTCTTGCATGACGGAGGATTAGAGATGTTAAAAACACAGGTGTTCTCATCGTCAAAGCCATTTCCATCTACGCTGGACTCCTGTTGGTCATCAGAGATTGTGCAGGCCTCCCTATCCTGAATGGTACATGTGCTTGTTGTTTTACGTGGTGTGATGTTATCTCTCAAGAAGTGAAGTAGCTTAAAATAAGGCCACTTGGAAACATATACATCTTTAGTTCCAGTTCCTGAAACCTTGGTCGCTCTTTCTTTTCCTATTTCTTTGCCATAATATGTCCTCAAACACGACATCTTCTTCCATAATTCATCAGTTGTTAAATCTTAATTAAAACAAAATTTAGATTTACTTCTTATTTATTAGCAACTACATTTCAAACWGTCATTTATTCTCTTTCTGACTATAGAAAACGTTTCAGGAAACATTTGGAATAATTTATTCCTCTTTCAATATCTAATTTTTTTGAAATGATAAGTTACACTCTGATGTAATTAGAGCATAAAACTAAAATTGCTCCAGGAATCTATTGAAAAATGATACAGAAATATGAAAAAATGTTAGATTCTTAACTTAGACAGTTTTTTTTTTTGCTTCAGTGCATACACTATCAATTGAAATATGTTTGCAAAACAATTACAACATGTCGTGACAAATTTGTGTGTGCAAACTTACCAGGAATGTCAGCTTTCAGTACAATATCTGCAAGTGCAGTCGCTCTTGCATCTTTCTTAAAATAGTCTTCATGAGAGCAATTGAATAGCACTTCTTTGGTGGACCAAAGACAAATTATTCTTTCTGTTTCCTCGTCTGAGAAGGAAAGTTTTCTCTTTGCCDCTGCCTTTGATTTAGCCATCTTAACGACGCAAAGCAACAAGCTCACTCAAATTGTGGCGGGAAAACCGAACCTTATTTGGCAAACGAGCTTAAWAGTATTAATAGCAAAATAAATTGAAGTACTAAAATAAAGAGATATAGTCCTTCTACACAAGCGATAAARGAATTTATTGCTCCAACCTTTTATMCAAATTAACAATCATTTGATCTCAATTAATCTTATTGMTGGATCGARGTTAAAAATTCAGGTCGATTTCAAACACTTACTTTTGTCACTTAAATTCACCGGTTTATAGAGTTAAAAAGGTCCAGGAACAATAAATACGTCTGAAATGTCATCCATATAGAGCTAAACATACACTTTGAGTGTAATAAGCTTAAAGTTCTTTGATCTCAGTGTAGAAGTTACTTCAATCGTTYGARAATACACATCGAGTTGCATCGGCTCCATTTCACCCAGATTCATCATCCATTTAAAAGACTTCTTGAAAAATGCGATGATTTGTAGTTGGCAAACAAACTAGGAATATGTCCATGACATTATGTTATCGGATGCTTCAATGAACGTCCACAATATAAGCAAATTCAATCGAATCAATCAATCCGCCATGTTTTTCTATTACACAAAGAATGTATGTAAAAAAATAAGGAATCTGATTGGACGAGACAATAGTGCCAGTCTCAATCACGGTAGAATGACGCCATTTTCCCAAGATTGTCGTAGAAATTTTAAKCCGTGGCTCAAAATCCTACGACAAATTTTACGTCTTGTGCGACTGTCGYAGAAAAGTTGTAGGACCATTTACACGACAAGATTCTGAGCCCAAATAGTTGTATAAGACAAGTCGCGCGCGATAATTGTGCCGTGTAAATCGGCCTTAGGATTTCAATATTACATTATCGGGGGACTAGTGACGAGTCATGGAAGAGTTGGGATCCCTGTTTATGTTGCATAGCAGAATAACCAAGTAAACAATATGGCGGCGTTTCGATGATCGAAACCTNTATTCTGTCTTTGTGCCCTTATTAGCGGCTTTCTCGCGCTAAAACAACGCGCAGTGCACGCATGCGCAGTATCGGGTTCAAATCTCAGATCCGTAGACATTAATCTGTTTCTTTGCGTAAGAAAATAAAATTCATTTAGGATGGCACAGAGCGCCCAGTTACAAATTTATTGATTGCAGTCTCAAGTTTACCGGAAAGTGAGTGAGTGAGTGAAATATTAACATAACATCTCAATCTTCGAGTTAAAAAGGATCTTTCGATCATTTTATAATAATTCACTTACTCTCATAGTCAATCACTTTTAGTAAATAAAAATAAATAAGTTAAGTCTTTTATTTTGAGAGGGTAGCACGTAATAGTCTCTAGACTAATAAACTTGTGGCCCTCTATATATTCACTCATACTCACTACCTCAACATTCATTATTTTACTACACGACGCTCCTCACAGCTAGTTTTTGACTGAGGGATGAAAACCAACGGACCTGGAGAAAAACCCTCGGAGCAAGGAAGAGAACCAGCCTACAAACTCGAATCACATATAATCCCGGACCGTGAATCGAACCAGGACCACAGTGGTGATAGACTGGCGTTTTAACCGATCGGCCATCCTTGCTCCCCAAATAGTTGCTATTTACAAGTTTTAAATGTTGATGTTGTTAATGTTGATTGGTACAGCATTTATTTTTATTTTTAGGGAATGTCCATTATTACTCTGCCGCAAAAAGACACGTTCTTTTACCCAAGGAAATTTTTCCGGTATGCCCCCACTTCAAGCCAAACATGACCGAAGTGACAGTTCGGTTCTACAGGGCAAGTCAAATGTTTATGGTTTTCTCCTATTACAATGAAACTCATGAATTACTAGTAGAAGATAAGACTAGATATCATTATTGCAAATTAAAATGTTGTTTTCGGTATTTTTGTTTGTAGAGATAGATTTTTCACGTGACCGGTGATTCATACCTTGTCACAG